AACCACGGTGTTTCGATGGAAACCCGGCTGATTATTTACAATTTGTAAAGGAGTTTGAGATCATGCTAAGTGGTTTTTTATTAACTGATGAAATGAAGTTAATGTATTTGATGAGGTATTGCACTGGAGATGCTTCAAGAGCTATACAGTGCTGTAAGTTTATGAAGCCAAAAGAGGGCTACTACGAGGCTATGAGCATACTACGTCAAAGGTTTGGAAGACCTTCACTGATTGTAAGGAACGTATACGAAGCTGTCAAAGGTAACGGCAGTCAACTTCAAGATGACTCCAAGGCACTTACTGAGTTTTTAGATAATCTTATGACTTATAAGAATACCTTGATTTCGATGAATTGCATGAATGACCTCAACTCAAGTTTTACACTAGAAGTAATAGCAAGACGCCTACCTACTCGACTGCAAAGGAAGTGGGTGAAGATAAGCTCCCGTATGGAGGATGAGGGTATCGAGCCAAAATTTGATGATTTCCTGAAACTAGTAAAAGATAGTGTCAATCAACCTATGAGCAAGTTTGCCAGTATATTGAATCTCACCCCTAGAATGGAGCAGTCTGAGGGTAAAACGCAATCATTGATGACGAGTAGGCCTCAGAGAGGTGGATATCGAGAAGGCTCCATGATGTCTAGTAATGCATATAGACCTAATGAGTGTAACAGGTTTCGTAGTACATCCTCAACAGATAAGTTACAAGATGTAATACAAACACAGTTGTGTTTTACACGTTTGCAAGAGGTGCATACAAAGGTGAACTGTGAATCAGTGAGCAAGTTCAGGGATAAGCTAAATGTGAAATCAAGATCTGACTCCGAATTGTGTGACGATAACGGTGTGGTCAAGAAGTCTGTAGTTGCAACTGGTAAGCCATTGTTGAATAGATTGTCACAGAAGAGAGTTACAGTCTCAGAGGACAGTTCTGACTCCACAAGTTTACAAGGTATTACTAGTCAGAGTGAAGATACAAAACCTTTAAGGATTTGTGAGGAAGAAACTAAATCATCTACTTCTGTTATTAAAGAGTTTGAAATTGATGAAGTCGACCAGACAGATGATGATAAATTGAATATTCAGGATAATGATCATGATACTTCACATATGTCTTTGGTTGATCATGATGGGATGAGGGATATGCCTACTACTGCTAAGTTAATTAAAGATTCTGTACAACTACAACGTGAAGTAGAAATAAGTGCAGTTGCAGAAGGCATGCATACTTGTGAGACCGTCAGTGTGAGTGATCAGCATGTAGCCCACCTATCATCAGATGCTAGTGCTAAACCTGAGCTGATAGTAAAAGACAGCAGTGGTGGTGGTCTTGCAGGTAGACAAATTTCTGAAAGTCGAGCAACAACAGCTTCTGATCCACCGCTAAGTTCATCAACTGGTATCAATCAGTCGTCGTTGGTGTTGTCATCCACAATGAAACAGACGCCCATCAACTCAAGTATCTTGTGCAATGACTATGATAGTATTGGTGCGTTTGAAAAGACGAAAGATATTGCTCAGTTTAGTGAGAATAAGCCAAGTGTAAACGAGAGAGTAATTGTTAAATTGACTTGCATGAATAAAGGCATTTCTAGTTTCAAGTTACTATTTGAATGCTATTATCTTTGGTGTAAATTACTCTGTGTCTACGCTTGGTTGACCAGATACGTCGTGTGTTTGTTCGTCATCTATATTCTACGATACAATGACATGGGCGTGTTACCGTTCAGATTTGAGGATATAGATGATAGAAGGAAATCAGCAAATGAACTCTGCAACGATTTTCCAACCTAGGGCGTCAACCTGAGAAGGGTTGTAGGCGTACTGCTGTAAGTCCTACAATTCTTCAAGGGGTAGCGCATCAATGAGCAGTCCAATGTGCTTGGTGTGTGATTTTGTACATATGTTCATATTGCATATACTGAATTGATATCATCTGTCATCTAGCTGTTGGTAATTCTGTTTGTGTCCGGACGACTTCCACTTGGATCATCAACCTGAGAAGGAATGTAGGCGTACTGCTGTAAGTCCTACAGTTCTTCAAGGGTAGTTTGTCGTGCCAGAATCCACAACATTTGATGTGTTGATTGTACTTATGTTTGTGTTAAATAGTTGTGTGAGTTCCAATTATCGTAATTGTTGGTTAATCTTGTGTGTGTCCGGACATTCCACAACTTACAATCGTCAACCTGTGAAGGGTTGCAGGCGTACTGGTGTAAGTCCTGCGATTCTTCAAAGGAATTCCATCGAGACACGATCTGCGAGTTTGTTTGTACTGTTTGTATATACGTGTGGTGTGTCCTATCAATTGGTGTTTTTGGATCCATTGTGTTTACTCGTTGTTTCCGTACCTTGTTTTTATTGCATAATTTTGTTAAAACTTTCGTCGTGATTACTTCTGAAGTTGTTTCGAGTCTTCTACATCCGTGAATGAATTGATTGATGTTAAGGACAGCAGATGGGTCGTATACGCCAGGGAGGCTAGGCTATTGCTGAGAATGAAATGCATACGGAGATAATTGTTAGCTGTGGTCCCACACGCCGGGGAGCGGGAGTGTAAACGACTGAGGCTCGCATACGTCACCGCTACTAGAACTAAGGCAGAATGAGTGACAAGCGATTTCAGTGGTAATTGGTAGTGAGTAGATACGAGGACGTGCGTGGAGTATCGTGAGGTGGTGCTATGGTCACGTTGCATTCTGCAAGAGTCATTCTAGGAAGTGGCGATTGTGTTGCGAGATGTCAAGAGGATGCCTTTAACTGGAAGGTGTAGGTCGTCATTGATGTGTGAGATAGTGCTGTGAGTATGCTTGTGGTGTGTTGGCTTTTCTGTTTGTTTTCCATTTCAGCTCTGTCCGTGTGACCCAGGTTCTCGCAATGGCATCCAAGTCAACGTGTATTGGTCGTGAAGGAAAAAACGGATGGGGCAGACGGAGGGAAAGGATTTTAGCTTGTCGGGATTTGGCAGCTGTTTTACCCTACTAGCATACCAATTTTCAGGATTTCATCATGAGCTGACATTGGTTAGGGAATCACTGGAAGGCCGAAGACATCGGCTAGTGGTCGCGCTATGTCGTGAATTGGCAGAAGTTAGAATTCATGGGCTTTTGAATCGGGTCCTAGTGACTTAATGGCCTAAGAGCTTGAAGGCCTTGTAACCATAAGGTCCCGGGTTTCGAATCCTGTCGACAGGTGCGTACTGCTGATCGTTGACAACGACACAACTTAAGGAGACCAGGAAGAAGCAGAGGCAGTGACAGATTACTTCTCCAAAGTCTTCGTATAAGAGCGGTCGTTCACCATTTCATCAGCTCAGGTTGCATCAGAGGAACACATGGTGGATTCCGTCGACACCTACATAAAAACAGATTCCGTTCAGTAAAGAAACTACAGTCAAGGAAGTCAGTAGGGCCCGATACCCGTCATTCAAGGCTTTTCAAGGAGCTATCAGCTCACACAGATAGCTTATTAACTACAATCTTTAAGCTATCTCTCTTTAATGGGGTTTCGCTGCTTTACTTGAATTATGCCAAGGTATTAGGGGCAGAATAATACGCCGTACTTAAAACTGCAGTCCTTTCAGCGTCAACAGCACCTCAATCAAGGAACTAGAAATAATCATCAATACAGCTATCATATTACATTTAGATAGCAAAAGCTTGTTGTCCAGGGCAAGGTATATCTTCCGGGGAAATTTCTGAGGCCTGAGAAATCTTCTTACAGCAAAAGGAAGCTGGTTTAAGTCAGAAGGGAGAAAAGACCCGTCACCACCGCTTTCATAGATTTCAGCAAGGAATATACACATTGGGTCATAGGAGTTATTAAGAAGGCAGTTGCAGCGAAGAAAATTTTCTTTCCGACGAAGTCACCATCTAGGCTGTACATTCGTGTGTTTGTATCAAATGGATGGGAAAGTTCCGGAATAATTTCCGGTTAAGCGTCAAATTAATAAAAATCAAAATTAGGAATTAGAAGCAAGTACCTCACACAAGACTCCTGATGAAATCGGAACTTCCTGGAATCAGTGGTGGATCACTCAACTGAATTGGGGAATTCTTCGTAGGTAGGAGGCAGAGAGTAAGGATAGATTCAGAACTTCCCTCCGGAGACGACAGCACATGGTGCAGTGCCACACGACACCGTAAGCGAGACCCTCTGATTCATCTCTTAAATCAATAAGTTGTTATTGAAATTTATATAGTCCTCTACGCAGATCACCTAAAGATCAACGATAGCTGAAGTGCAATAATGATACGCTCGTGTTTCAAAGATTCTCCAAAAATTTGTTGAAGTGGTTCAAATGATGGATGTTCCCAATATGCGTAGCGAAGTGTGTAACTATGCGTATGGAACACCCAAGCGTCAACTCATACGAATTAGAGGGAATGATACTCTTACCAGGTCATGACTTACAAACCACAACACACTGTCGCGTGGTGGTAGCTCTCAGTTTCAGATATACGTAGGTGCAACACAGAGCGTTTACGAGAACAATCAGAGAAATATGCACTTCTTTATACATATCTCTGTTGAGGCCAAGACTGGAAAACTGCATCCAGACAGCCAGTTCTTGTCTTAAAGGGGAATTACGCATTCAAGAAAAGGCCCAGGGGAGGATAACACGTATGGTTCTCGGCATGACCAATTTATCGTAAAACGAAGGCCTAGGCAGTTTGGATCTTTTCCCCTTGTCATATTGTAGGCAGAGAAGACAACTTATTACAGCGTTCAAAATTTTGAATAATAACTATGGACTTGAACTTATTTTGTCTTTTGATTGCTGACAACTCATGACATTTAAACAGAAATAGCAGGAGTGTCAAAAAGCCAATGAAGAACTACATCGCTTTGGAGAACTAGTTCTAACACTGAACCAAACTCTTGGAACCGACTCTCAGGTGAGGTGGTGTCACACCCTCAGTCAGTCTGTTCTAGAAGGTTTTGAACAAGTAAAAACTGTTTTAGGAAACCATTAAAATAGGTTTTAAGCCTTACATCCTCAGTCAGTAAATCTGAAAGTGACCGGTACTTTGGACATTGAGAGGCGGGTTCAAGGTCGTTTCAGGACGGATCTCACCGTGCATCATGGTTTGGTTAATTTTGTAACTTACTAATTTCCTTAGACACAAGGTATTAATCCTCGGGCATACCCACTGGCAGGACCAGAATTGACGAATAAAATAATCGAGCTTGTTAAGCAGGCCAGCTCTTACAAACAATTAAAGAAGGGTGCAAATGAAGCCACAAAGGCTCTCAACAGAGGGAAAGCCGAATTTATTGTGATGGCAGCCGACATTGATCCACTAGAAATTGTATTACACTTGCCACTGTTATGCGAAGATAAGAATGTGCCATACGTCTTTATTCCATCACAAATGGCCCTGGGTCGAGCTTGCGGAGTTTCTAGGTCTGTGGCAGCTGTCGCCGTTACAGATAGTGAAGGTTCACAGCTCAAACCTCTCGTTGTTTCTATTCAGCAGAGCATCGAAAAGCTTCTTATTTAATAAATATATACTTGTAATTAAAAATGGCTTCTAAGTTCTTGTATAGATCAGTTTCCTGAATGTAGAAAAGACATTTTCCTAATCGTGAACTGTTTGCTATTTGCAATATTATACCTTAACCGACTCTTAGCTCTTACAATATTTATTGACTTCGTTATGACTAGTCTCTATTAAAACCGTTTCTTGGAGTGCCGTATACATATATTTTTGTACGGTCTTTGTCTTTAAAGCAGTTGAGGGAATCACAAATAGTCCAAACGAGGCGAATGTCATAATTCCATTGCGGGAAGTGGATTTTTCCTGAGTAAAAGGATAACCAACTGTGCAACTAGGGACAATCAGGTTGTACAACTGAACAAGTACTTTGTGGGGTTAGTGAGCTAGAATTTTCCCTCTTCTGTGATAAGTTAGTTAGGACTTGCGTTTGTAAGTACTCGATCGTTTGTTGAATATGTAGGTGTTCTGTCGTAATGCAGTCTTCATCCTATCGTCAAAGACTTCCTATAGGTCCTTTAATGGGTAGAATCATAAGACTCAAGTTTGCTTTCTAAATACTACCGTCTGTTTCAGTTTGTTATCCGCGTTGCCAAGATAGTTGTCACGAGTCAGCATTTTCTAGTCCCGTGCATGTTTACTCATGAACTATAGTCTTCCTGATGACTGTGGGAGCGGATAATATTATAATGATTAAGTGTGTCTTAAAGACATTCGAGTGTAGACAGCATTTCGTTTTAAGCGAAGTAAGAATTTCTTTTCAGAGACTGTGGTGCTGACTGCCTGGTTTCAACAAAAACTTTGCGCTGATGTTCAGCAGTTTGAGTTGCCACACATCACTCAGCACACAAAACCAAGGAAGATAGTAAAAAGAAACGCAAAATAGAGACAGTAATAAGAGATACGAGGCAAAAAGTATAGTAATAATGAAGAACAACATAGTTGTGACGCACCACTGTTAGTCAAAGACAAGGCTGTAAGTTAGTAATTATGGCAGTTTTGCTAGTACTTTGTATGTGTATTTGGTGTATGAGAGATGCTCATATGTTGTTGAACGTGCTACATGATGGATGCTTATTTTTTCTTGAAGACGTGAATCAGTGGATTGGTATCTGGATGCCAAGATCCTTACTGTCATGTAATAATAATAATAATAATAACAGCTTTATTCCAAACAGTATTTGTGGTACAGGTATGGAATTTTCAGCGTGCATTAGCGTGTCGTTAGTGATATTTGATTATCTTGTTCTGCAAAGAGTATTTTCGCAAGTCTGTTTATAAGAAGTGAAGTTATGACTTTGAGGACTGTTGTATATGACACGGTGATCAAGAGGTTTTTCTTGAGTTAAGTGGAAAAAAAACTTTTCTTCTAAATTGTGACAGGAATACCCATTTCTTTGCACTATTCACGTCTTGAAATTCGTGTAGTAAGGATGTAAACACATTAGTGGTAGATGGCATTCAGTTTCACTAGTGTTTATCGGTGAATTCCGAAATTGCACTGTGGTTATAACTTCTGACAAAAAAACGCCGGTTTTCAGCTGCAGTCAGCTCGTCACTAAATTAGTGGATAAGCATCTGAATACATGCGAAAAAGGTCTAAAACCATACTCTCTGACCCCCAACACCCCCTCTATTCCCAACTCTCTCCTTGCATCTCATCAGGTAGAACCAGAAATCAGTACAAAATAATATATGCTCGTACAACCAAGTATAGGAACTCAACGATACCATATTTGGCCCGTGTTCTAAGTGACAGAGACAATCTTAAGCGTGAAACCTATGACTTGCTTTGTTGATAATAACATAATTTGAGCTTTTTTATTTCTCCCTTATACTCTCTTATTTGTAGTCTATAGTGAACAGCCTTCTTAAAAAACTTAGCTACTTAAAATTATTATCATTGGCTTACTTTTTTATTCTTTATTCTATTCTTTCTTTTTTTGTATATCTACTGGTTCCGACTATTTTTTTGATTTTTGATTTACAGCTTGATTCCACACTGTATTTTCGGTACAAGTATAGAATTTTCAGCATGGATATCGGTAGCCCAAATTTTTCAGGCCGACCATAGATATTAGGTGTGCGTCGGTGCGGGCTCGAACCCCGGACCATGTGCATGGTCGGCGAGAGTCCTAACTACTGTGCCACCGACTATATTATCACTATGATTATTACAAAATTGTCCTGTCATTAACCATCATGTAATATTAGGTTTTTGGTTGTTTTTTAACTGACAATCTTGTTTGTGAACGCCACTATCAACATCTTAAAATTTTGTATTATGCAAGATTACTCACACTACCACAACAAACACTGCATTAGTGCTGACAATAAAAAGACCTTGGAATGTTTATTTTATGATTGTTTAGTGTAGTTCAATCAAATTAACTGATCATCTTGGCTATAAATATTCTTAAGAACATCTCATAACTTCTTGTATGAGTATGGCTGTTACTGTTCACCACGCATACACATATCATAGCTTTCACTACCCAATACTGAAATATTTTTCATTATTGGTGTTTATCTTCCTTCCTACTTGGTATTTTTATTCGCATTATTTTGCTATTTTTGTGTTTCTTTTTGGTTTTTGTTGTTTTTTATATTTATTTTTTGTAATACCCCTTTTAAATGTACGATGAAATTAGTTGGAATATTGCAGATATGTGTTGAAAATTCCACACTGTACCACAAGTACTGTTTTTGGAATAAGAGCGAAATTATTATTATTATATATTCTCATGGAAGTCACACATTAGTCTACCCACTTATTTTCATCAAGTTTTCTGGATTTTATAGGTATGAAATATTTTTGCTGTCGTTACAATATGGGCTAAGTGTGTGGTGCATTCACTTCTGGGTGTGAAAATTCTCACTTCTGATTGGAAGGATAAACATGATATTTGTGATTATCTTTCACTTGTCGTCCAGTGCCTCTAGAATAATTTATCTTGGCTCAAACCCCGCGTACATGCTGATTTAACTGTTCTAAGTGGGCTTACTATTGAATAGGTTTGTCTTCAAAATGAAGGGTGCGTAACACTCTGGTTCGGACATTATATAGAGTAGCTAGATCATTGTCCAGGCTGAATGCCTTCCTTGGTTGTCCTTGAACCAACTACTTTGTTCTTATTCGTACATTTCTTTTCTCTTCCTTTTTAAACCATTTTAGTTTCTAACTCCTACGAGCTAACTTATCTTATGTTCCGTAATTATTTTCGCCACTCGCAACTTCGAAACTTAGATATCTTGTTGCTAACATATACTATTCAACCTTTTTGATGTTTTTAAATTTCTTATTTTCATCCTCTTATAAAATGGGCATTCTTATTGACTCAAATAACCAAATACCTGGCATAATTTTGATGTCAAAAACTATTTATTAGTGTAGAGCCGATGAGTCTGCGTTCCATCTCCCGTGTGAAATAGTATAATAAGGTGGGCAATATCGAGGTTAGGCTACGGTCAAGTGTTGAGTAAGGAGGAAATCAATCGATGAGGTTGTGGAGTTACACCGGTTGAGATGGTTAGGACGTGTGTTACGCAAGTTACGCCATCGCCTTCCTCCATTGACGGGCTATGTTAGCTGACATAGGATCAATCAGGTTAGAAAAGAGTTAGCTAGTGGTGGCCAGACCAAAATATGGCTTCACCAGTCAATGAAATCTACAATAGTTAGTCTGAGCCAGTCAGCCACGTAGGCAGGTGTAAACTTCCAGACTGGTTAGGGTCCTCGGGATGGTAAGAACCAACGGAGGCTGGAGACAATTGGTGATATGGCTGAAAATCGTTCTCAATGGCTGGCGAAGATGCATTCACCCTATGATCTCCCATATCCATTAAATCCTACTATTTTTCCACATTACTATTCTTTCTCTACCACCATATTTCTGCTTTTTATCGTTCTTTTGAAAACCTTATTTTCTCTGTCTTTTGTGTGCTACACTGAGTGTAGCAAGTCTTGAACTGCTGCACATCCTTGCAAAGTTCTACGCTGGAAGTGGTCACAGCCGGTGATGGAGAACTAATGGAAAAGGAATATATTTCTTCGCCCAATATGTATTTTTCTAGCATTTTGTTGGACTTTCTACATACAAATTGACCTTAACAGCGTATCATAATCGACTACTAGTTTTACTATTACTCTTTTTATAAAAATGCATTTTTCCCCTTTCACACACTGATAAACTATTGACTTCAGGTCTAATGTACACTAATTTTGCTTTTCCTTTTACAAACAGTGCGGATTCATTATGGCTAATCATCGTCTGTTTCAAACTATTGCATTCAGTTCACTACACAAATACTGGTCATCCCACTACTTTGCAGTTTGCAGTAGTATTCTACGTGATTTTTGTATCATTTTATTCCTTTGCGTTGTTCCGATTGGAGCATAGGGCTTCAAGTTGGAGCTTTGAAGTCCCAGTAACACTGGTGTTATTCCTTTCTACTATTACTAGGCTCACGCTCAACCTCCCATCTTTACTGTTGGCTGAGCGAGGGTCAGGCGTGCACTGTTCGGGAATCGAACTTATGATAGCGTATTTCGTTTCTGCTATAACCTTTACTTCAGTTCTTCTTTTCGCTTACTTTTGGTGCTGTAGACGCATTAATATTTCACTTATTTAGATAAGTGGTCACCAGACGTATTGTAATCAGACAACTGTAGAAAAAGAATAGTTCACGTGACTTTCAAGTTCTGACAAAACATAATTTAGAATTAAGCAGTCGGCATAACTTTATCATTCCGAATAATCCCACGTGGTTGACGTTACACTCACTATTAAATTATTAGGAGTATTCGATTTTAGCTAAGAACTTACTAGTCAAGGATGGGGAGGATATTAAAGAAATAGTTCGGCGACAGCCACCGGGTCGCCTTGACAAGTTTGAACAAAATAAGAAAGAATCGAATTTGCAGAATTAAAAGAGCTCATTTCTAATTTCATAGCCTTTTTACAGACGCTAACAGTCTAAAAATCAAATAAGTTACTATAAATATGTAGCGTAGTTTAGAAATTGTTTACATACAAAGTCTTTACATTACTATTGATTTCACACTTGCTGAGCTGAACTCATTATTATTCTTCCAATCGACTTGTTTGCTTTTGCGTAATGATTGTACATACTATGTCTTCTCACTTCTACCCTCTGCTCTCAAATAGAGCATAAACACACGCCGGTTGTTCAGCTAATAAATGCTTTGTTCTACTACTACGATATAAATTATGATATGCATTCGAGTTGAAATGATTTCTGAAATATGCTATTTATCTGCGTTTACAATAACTTATCCCAGCAGTTACAGAAAAGCTTTAAAATAAAAAAGGAGCGGCTTTTCTCCCCCTGAGAACGTATACTCGTCCTTGGTCTGTTGAGAAGGCTATTAGGAGTTGGACACCATCGGACGAGTGATAGAACATGCAGATTTATAGTGATACCAGTTTACAACATACATCAAACTTTGAGGACTCTTGTTGTGTTTGTCTACAATAGTATTAACAAGTTGGGTTAACAACACCCTACCGACGGCTTTTAGCGCCCTACGCAGTATAAGAAAGCCTTTCTCATGTAGCCCGAGAAAAAATTAAGGAAGAACAGTAAAGAAGTATAGGTAGAATACAAGTAGAAACAATGATACCGGACGTCTCTTAAGTTCCTTCCATGGAAGCTAACGTAATGTAGGAAGACCAGGAAGGATCAGAGGAAATACGCAGTTCAAGGTATTTAACATTCGATTTGGTTTCAACTTCAGCGCCATGTATGATAGCAGAACCGTGCGAACTAATCAGTTCACGTAAGCCACGCGTGCATCTGAAAGCGACATTAACCAACTGATATTTTAAGGGATTAAGCCTACGACTATTTGACGAAGACCACTGACCAATTTCTGATAAAATGTTATTGACTTTTGGAACAGTCTGAGACCACCGGCAGGGAGACAGTCAGATCATCGCCGCACCCAGCCCCTCTTTACCCGGGCTTAGGATCGGCTAGAAAATTAGCGGGGTTAAAATCACATAAAGATTCCATAAATTCTATACTAATAATAACCTCCGTCGCTTGTTCTAAATTTTTGGTCGGTGTAAATTACACTGGCAACTAGGTTCTAAACTATAAAAACCTAACACTAAATAATAAAAATGGAAAGAAGTGAATACTATTTTACAAAAGACAAACAGAGTAGTTGATTCGCTACTGTTAAACTATTTTCTAGGGATTTTGAAATCAGTTAGAGAACCAGAGGGTGCTAGACATCTGTTTCACCCTAGTACTTGCAACTCCTCAGCAGTATACACCCATCAGGTTTCGAATACCTGCCCATCCAGTTACAATGTGTGCTCATACATAATTCATCCACTGCAACTCAATTCAGTCATGGTCACGTAAAAATAACGAATGGATAGAAGTTAGAATTCATGGGTTGGGGCCACTGAATTGAGTCCCAGTGGATCGGCCTTGTAACCAACAGAGAGGTCCTATATTCGAACCGTGGTGAGTGTCTGCTACCGATGAGTCCAAAGTACTAGGAAAAGACAACTGTCCAGTACTACTCCCTGTTAGTTTTTCAATGGTTCTCTAACTGATATCAGTCTGTGCTAAAACCTGGAACTATTTTCTGCAGAAACCATCTATAATACAGTGCATCATAACAAGACGATTGATTTGATTGCGAAGCAACTTAAACCGGTTAACAATCAGTTTATTCTAATAGAAAAAAGTGTATACACGCGACTATGCTGAGGCAACACATCTACTCATTTTTTTGACAGACGACTATGTTTAACAAGCCTTATTTATTCGATAACTACTAAGACTATGAATTGCCAGTGAAAAGTCCAACACTTCTGAGAAAACATTTCGCATATTAACATCCAGTTCTAGACAAGCTAATCACAATTATGATGAATAGTAATAGGGAAATCGTCAATGAATATACAAATGTCATATGTATATATTAGGTTGAGGGCAAAGTTAAACAATAGCACCCAAGGGGATGTGAACGCACGGGTGACCTTCAGCCAACCAACCATAAAAATAAGTGATTTTTGCACATTGATTTACAAAATGCACGAAAAAACATTAAACAGGGTGTCTTTTTCTGACATGACTTAAAAATACGTTCCTCCAGTTATGATGAGAAGTATCAGTTGCTAAGTTAAACTAGTCCCTGTATATTTTTTCACCGAGGTGGTGACTTAAGGGGAGCCTCTTTTGTGACCCGTTTATCACTCTTATCCTGTTTTGCAGTCTTCTCTAAAAACTCTAGGTTGAATTACTATAGTCTCCCAGTAAGAGGATCGACAACTACTTACTAAGAAAATGTGAATGGTAATAATAACAAATTAAAATACCAACTCTGAATCTATCCCTAATCGTAACCCCAACCTCAATATCCTGGCTTTAACACCTTCATGCTAACTATAACTCTTATCCTAACCCCCCTTAACGATCTATTAAAACATTGTTCAAATAGTACTTAACTGGATGAAATTCGCTCCCTAGTCAGTGAATAGCGTTCATATTTGCGCTGTAACAATGACGGGTGTCGTTAGCCGATGACTAACGTACCCACGCCTTCAAGGTCATTGGTACTTTCACATCCCTGGGACACTATTATTGTTTAACTTTGCCAGGTTGAGAAGATTTCCAACACTCTCCCATCTTACACGCTTCTATATATAATGTATGTATGATTAACCCAATCGTGATGAAGACATTTAACCGTTTGGAAGACAATTTCTCTACTTTTTTGTTCCAATGGTATACTAGACACAGAAGTAGTATACAAATACACATATTTTCAAGGGTTGTTGATTTATAAGAATTTGATTTGTTTGTGGTAATCGCTGACAAAAACCACGGATTAGTAGAAGTTAGAACCCCATGGACTGGCCACTGAATCTGGTCCGAGTTGCTGCCTTATAACCAGAAGGTCCTGGAGTTCAACAAACCCCAGTGGCTGTGTGTACTGCCGATGAAACAGCTGTCCAGTACTCTCTGGACATAAGCATAAAACCATAATATACCAGCCAATAATAATAATAATAGGAAAAAAACCCAAAATGATTTTTATTGCAGTTAACACTGGACAGTATATATATATGGATATTTGTATAGCCGAAATGATAAAAAATAAAACAAACTGAATATTATATTAGTAGTATTAGTATTAGTAGTGTGTTCATTTAATATTTTTTTTTCAATTAGTAATAATAATATATATACATATAATCTGATAAGCTGATGATGATGTGAGGCAATAGATTTTTAGTTGGAAGGAGACAAAGAGACACCAACAAGCACACATGACCGGAAAGATCATGCCCCCACCCATCTACCCACCCACACATGCGGTTGCTCAAAAAAAAAAACAAACACAACAACTCATCAGAAGAAATAATCTTTAATAAAATAAAAAAATGAAGAGACTTAAGAAACACATTTTATACTATGCAGCACTAAAAAGAAAATCAAAATTAGCAAAACAAGGTATACGTGTTAAACAGACAAACGGACAAAATAAACCCACAACAAATGATTCCCCATCGCTGATGACACCTCATACCATACCACATCATACAATGAGGAGGAGGAGAGGGAGCAGGAGTGCACATTTAGTACGCGGGGGAAATAAATAAAGACTTTTACAGAAAATTATAACTCTGTTTTTTATTAAAACAGTAGTATTGGCAGTCAATAGGTGAGTACTGCATAATCTCTAAGATTAATTAAGTCGTGTGTGTGTGTGAGTTGTAAAAACGCACACAGAGTATTCCAAATTATTTCGTCCATCTCTCTCTCTGTCGAAAGAAGTGAGTTGTCGTCAAACGGTATACTGAATGTGTATCTATGTATATATAGAAGCAAAATTTTTTTTCTTAGCATCCTAATATATAAAGACGAAAGCATTACTTACTTGTAGAATGCACAAGTACAAAATCAGTCAAATATGCAAGTTAACGATTCATACACATATATGTAATAATGATCGCGCGAGATTGACATGAAACCGAGTAAAATCAGAGGGTGTTAAAAAATAATAATAATAATTGTAATAATAACAGTATTTACCAGAAAAAGATTATTTACAATCACTGGAGACACCGCTAGTGATTCTGATGAGAAAACAAAGAAGGCAGAATAAAAAGTGTTGATGATGAAGCATTGTGTATGTTGGTGTTGAAATTATCAAACAAAGTAGGAAGGGGGTGAGGAGCAGCAGAAGGAGGATCGGGAAGTAAGAAAAGAAAGACAGACAAACAACACACACACAGAAAAGCTCAAAATAGTTTTTCAACATATCCCTCTCTAATAAAAATTAATGATGTTTGCTTGGATGTGTGTGTGCATGTGTGATGGGGATTAGGCGAACTTGATTTGTGTGAAAGTAAGAGAAGAGGGATGAACAACGCTCGTAGTATAATAACAATGCGAAATATCAAAACAAGAACAGAAGATAATAGTAATAATAATGATCATAATAACAGCATATAATGATGATTATCATGTCCTAACAGTGAAGACAAAACAATACTTCTCTGAAGTCAAATGGCAAAAAGAAACAACAACCCCTATGAATTGGCGACAGGCGTCGTCATCGTAGTAGTAGTCGGCATTTTTATATTCTCTTCAAATACACACACGCACGCACGCGCACACAGGCAAGAGATGACAAAGAAAGAAATGAGAGGCTGGTAAAAGGCACCTGATAAAGATTCCTAAAATCAAGAATGCTTTATTGTCTAATGTTTTGAGTAGGGAAATAGATCATGTTTTCTCACGGAAGCTTATCGGAAAGACCAATGGAAAAAACCCCCACTTTATAATATGGAACATCGCCATATTTGACGTTTAGGTCGTTTGCTGTTGATATTTCTTGTGTCTTCTCTGGGTGGGTTAATGATCTCCTGAAATTTAATTATCAGATAAAATGTTTTTAGAAAAGAAAAACAACAATAACAACAAATAAATCAGAAGTATTTTTGGTGAGTCAATATTCTTGTCTCAAAAAAGCTGTGAAATCATGTTTAAATATTTAAGTGTTCAGTCTGTGTGGTGAAAATATTACCATAGAGGTTCCAGAAGATTCTTTTATTATGTATAGAATAGTATAGCAAGTCGTCTACTTCGATTACTTCACAGAAGTATTAGAATTTGTGGACTACATTAAAATTTCTTTTCATAATCGAATGAAATTTTACAGATTCTAACAGTGAAACAGTAAGTTACATCACTATGACACATATATACTGTTTTTTTGATACTGTTTAAATTGGTCTAAGCAAGTTCACACTATACATAAATTTAAAAGTGCATGACCGGCAGTCAGCACCGGATGAGGGGACGTCACAATCAGAATCGGAAAAGCTAGAGAGAGACATTAAAGTATTGGTTTGTAGGGATTTGGTTGATTGATTACAGGATTTCATCATGAACTGACATTGGTTAGAGAACCATTGCAAAACCTGCACGGAGTACTGGACAGCCGTTTCATCCTAGTTTGGGACTCTTCAGCAGTACGCAGCCACCGATATAGCGGTTGCGCTATACCGTGAATTGGCAGAAGTTAGAATTCATGGGCTGGTCACTGGTTCGGGTCCCAGTGGCTTAATTGTCTACGAGCTCGCCAGCCTTGTTACCAGAAGGTCCTGGGTTCGAACCCCAGCGGGTGCGTACTGATGAATAGTCCCAGACTAGAGCGAAACAGATATCCAGTCCTCCCAGGCTTTCCAATGGCTCTCTAATCAATTTCAGCTCATGATGAAATCCTTAGAGAAACACTAATTGCTCTTAAGTCAGTTTGAAAATCTTCTGCACTCCACCGAAGCACAAACAACAAAATTCGGATTTACAGCACTAAATGTTAGGTCGTCAGTCAATTGTTCTATATGCGTCAGAAACTTTGCCTGAGTAACATCAAAAGCATTCCCATGCAAGCTGCTGCAAGCTTTTACATCAATAGTTGCTTTTGCCGGCTCCATACTAAAGACCAAGTGGAAAGCCGGAAAGAATTACCAACAGGAAACTTTGGGAACGAATCGATCAACAACCTATTGCTCAGGAAATATGACGAAGAGAATGAAGATGGATCGGATATACTCTGACATTGCACGCCAGGCCCTCTAGTAGAAGCAACGAGTGGGGCGTAGGTCTGAGGGTGACAAGGAAGAGCTAGTGTGAAGAGGAGGTGAGAGCTAGTGGGAAATCACGAGGCCAGGTTAAGAAGGCTACAGAGAACTGGGCAGAGTGGAGACGTGCTGTTTAAGCCCAATGTTCTATTCGGAATCCAAGGGAATAATACTATAATAATAGTAAATGTTGTGAGTTACAAAGATACTAGTTTATTCATGATTTCCTGAGAAAACCCTAAGTCATACTGAGTTGCCAAGAGCAAAAATAACTGTGATGTGAAAAACTTGGTTTATTTACGTGGGACAGCCAATAAAACAGCCTAGCTGTCGGGTCTTTCATGGATGAAATTCGAGGTGGTAACCAAATGAATGAGTATTAAATACCAAATAATTTAGTTTATTAGTACAACTTTTAAAACGACAAAAGTTATTTGATTTGCACTTAATGTTTATCTGTATTTAGTAGCGGAGCAGGTGCTTCCGCTTCGGGTTATCATAAGTAAGAGAAAAGTTGCACCTCTCTGGTTAAAAAGCTTTAGAAACTACTGAATATTATTTACATAAAACATAATAACTTACCATTTTCCCCTCCATTTTAACTTTGATATTTTGCGCTAGTAATTTGAAAGCTTCAGTGATATTAATATCAGATTTCGCACTGGTCTCCATAAAGCGAATTCCATATGAGTTCGCAAGCTTTATATAGAAAAGAACATCAGATAGAACATAAACATGTAAATATTCCCAGGAGATAGTATAAGGTGAATACCACATACCCCCACATACAAACAGGACCGTAAGAGGAAATTAAAGAAATCAATAGACACTGTTATGAATCAGATTGATACATCCACAGCGAACCTTTACGCCGAATGAAGCCATTTCTAGGTGAGTCTAAAGGGTCTGATTTAGTGCCGAAAACTAATCACCTCAGTAGGATGTATGGTACTGGCAAAGTTCATAAGTCAGGATATCCTATGAGACCCATAGTTGATTTTAGAAATTCACCTACTTATGAACTGTCTAAATATTTAGCTGTGGTATTAAATCCTCTTACAAACCACTCAAAATCTAGACTAACAAATTCTTATGAACTAAAACATCGATTAGATAACTTAAAATTTGATAATGAAGAAAAAATGGTTAGTTTTGACATTGCCAGTTTATATACACATATACCAATAAATATGGCTATAGAGGCAGTCAGAAACGAACTCATTTCTGACCAGGAACTTGAACTTAGAACGGAAATGCCACTAGAGGACATAATGCTGGGAGTGCGGTTAGCTACGTCTGACTTCCACAGTATTTAAATTCCAAGGGAAAATATACAAACACGCTGAAGGAGTTGCCATGGGGTCACCAATATCCAAGATTGTGGCAGATACATTTATAGATAGGTGGGAAAACTTAGCGATTGAAACGTTCAGCTCCACCTCAAAAGTATGTTGGACATATATAGATGACAGATTCACTGTACTTAAAACACAGGACATAAACAGATATTTCGACCACATCAACACTCAAAGGTGGAGGCAATTCAATTCACTTATAAATTGGAAAGTCAGGAAGCAGAGCTTCCAATGTTAGATTGTAGCGGAAAAGCGAGAAAAGATGGGAAGTTAAACACTAGTGTTTATAGGTAACCCACACATTCAAACCGATATTTGGATTATTGATCATCCCATTCTATGTCAGGATTGGTGAATTATTTAAGTAATAGGGCACAAAACTAAATAGTACCGAGGAAAATCTACGACAGGAAGTGAGGCATACTAGAGAAGCTTAGGATCTTATAATTACCCTGATAAATTAGTCAGGAAGTATGCAGGAAAATGTAAGAACAAAATGGTGATAGTATTAGTGATAGTGGTAATAATAGTAATATTAATGACGACATACATTTCAAAAATGTACTGAATAATGAAAACGTCAACAATAGGGGATTTAAATCATCAACAGTACTTCCATACAAAGAAGGAACCTCGGAAACCTTACGCAGAATTCTTAACAATGCAGGAATAAAAGTGGCTGGCATTGAAACCCAAACTAAATTACAAAAAAGGATTATCGGTTAAAGGATCCTGTGGACCCTTGAAACAAAACAATTCAGTTTATCTAATACCCTGCCTGCGATAACTGTCAGGTCGAATACAAAGGTCAAATTAGTAGAACGGGTTCAATCAGTCAGATTAGCCCAGCATAACGACCTAGCAGAATCTAGATTAGTTGACCCGAATAAGATAAGAAATCTAGAGAATAGTTCAGCTATAGTACTCACTACATGCAATTACACAGCCATACAATAGGACGGGATAAGATGACAGTTTTAAAATCTAATGTAATAAGGTGGAGGGAGAGATTGGCAAGCGAAGCCTTATATATCGAATCAGCTGCAAAAAGTGTAACAGGAATGATTCAACAACTGTCCCAGACATCTGGAAAGTTCTACTACTCCTACGACGACGAGCACGAAGAAATATAGGAAACTATAAACTGGAGGTTCCGAAATTGTTGAGTTATAACTGATATGACTATGAACAATAAATTGTGTTCGAAACACCATCCAGTAAATCATATTGCTTCAGTGTGACATATTTAATAAAAAAATTAATGAAGTGCCCATTAGGAGTAGAAAGGTTTAATACACAAAATTTTGCTCACATGTTTAAAAATGATAAATATTTTGACTTACCTGAAGACCAGCTTCAGTAGGTACTACTCTTGCTGCACAAGCATCACATTTGTTTCCCAAAAGCATTTTTTCAACGTCTTGATTAGCATGCTACAAAGAAAACGGTGAGTGATAAGATGTACATGACAAGACTCCTCAACGTTTACTGGCATATCTTTTGTGACTGACTCAAATTTATTACTAAAGTTTAAATGAAGCTAAAAACAATTACACTTACAGTGATACACGTGACTGTAAGTTAAACGACATTAAAAAGGACATAAACTACCTTAATGTATTATATTTATTTATTTAAACTCATAAAAACTTGGTACAATATGGCACCAAGAAGGATGCGCCACACAATAATAATAAAACAACGTAGATCAAAAGAAAAAAAGAAAGAAGAGAAAAATATATAAGTAGAAAACGGATAAAGAACTTCATCTGGAAGGAAAAGTCATGCTTAACAAGTTCAAACAGTATCCGTTAACTATCATCGGGAAGGGAAGAAACAAGGAAATTGCAGCACGTGTAATAGCAAGCGATAACTCATTGATTGTTTGTTGCTTCATTGAATTCATCGTGTGAGGGTTGAGATACTGCCCAGGCGCCCAGACCGAAGCAGGTGGTTCTATTAAGGGACCACTCCCCGAGCCTTTGACTTGGAGTCTAATCTGCAAGGCAGCGGAGCAGCATTCCCATGGTTCCCGGTGACCCATATGGGTTCATACGCCATTTGATCCGATTGGATACTGGAACTCATGTACCCCATGGTAACTGCTTTTAGTATAATCGCTATCCAAACAACCTTCCTGACATGGTAGGATCTGCAGGGACAGAATCCCAGTCAGTTTAGCATGTTGGGTCATTACGGTATTCAAGCCCGACCACCACGGCGAGGTAGCAGTTATCGGCCGGGCCTTAATGTATTGCATTTCAGCGACATACTAAGACAATTTCAAAAGTGACTTATTCAGACAGCATCTTGAAAACAAATACTTTACGTACGCTTATCATTACTGATAACAAATTAATGCATGGACAATTATTTAGCTCCTTATCATAGGCAGAGTATAGCGCTTACAGTTACACGAAGACTGGAGATCACGAGAAACGAAATTAAGAAAACCAGGAAAGTTCTTGCATCGGATGAGTGCACTGGCGGAATTATTACCCTTCAAAAGACTAAAAAATTCCTACTTGTTATATTTCTTGATGAGGTGTCGTTTTAATTTTATTGAGGTGTTGTGGTAGTGTCTGAGTGTTCAGTACCTAGAAAGCATATAATACACTCTACTTTGACTTGTGAAAGAGCATTTGGAATGCTGTCGTTTGAAGTAACAACACACAGAATATGATATTTGTCAGAGATCGACGCTCACTTTTGTCATTTAGCTTTCCTGTGTAAGTACTGGTGGATATTATATTTTACTTCGCTCTTTTAGGCACTGATTGCCTACCATCGATGTGTAATATGCAGATGATATAGTTCTTCGAGGTGGAAAGACCAACAAAGCGCAGTTTTATGAAAACACCGACAAAAAACCTGAATATTTGACATGTCGTTCAAACGGTTTGCTTTTCTATTTCTTACTGAATTGGAGATGGCTTTTTCAATCGCGGCTATGGCTGCAGGACCGATGTTTCAGTCCTATTCAGGCGAGGATCGAGTGATATGCAACCATAGACCAGTTGCAATGCTCCACAGAAATCCCATAGTCCACAAAGATCGTCCCATTTGGCATAGCTTTTCAAAACTTACTAGTGAAACAAGTTGACATTTTTAACATACGTAAATTATTGCTAACGCCTTTTGTCAGACTTTCTTGAAGTGAGTACTACTGTCATAATCTGCTAAATTTCTGATTAATTCTTCCCTAAATACTGACCTACCATTTACACGGATGGTCACTTTTTGCACCAAGCTGTACTGCTTGCGATAAAACTCATCCAAACTGAAGCTAAGATTATGAAACAGTATTGTCTTGTCTTACTATTATAGACAATCATTGAGGTATAACATAGGCGACTGTACTGAGATTCATTAGAGCGGTTTTCAGCTCCAGAGATTAAGATCTCCACAACAACAAGCCAACAGTAGGGTGGATTCCATGGATTTGTAAGTCAGATGAAGTTAATTAAGCTAGAGGGTTTCGTCTTTGTGAGTCTAGAGTGGTAACCCTTCTAGAGACTCCTACCGTAGAAAGTTTGATGTGAAGCGTTTTACGGAAATGCAATAGTTTAGGCAGTATTATTCTGTACTAATTGGAAACAGAAAAAATGAGTATGTGATGCAGAACATTTCAAGGGAGAGATATTAAGGTGTTCAGTGTTATAGAAAATAGAGAGCACATATGGGTCACCGTGAGTGATATTAATCTGTCACTAAGAGTCCCCAAAAATAACCATTAACATAGCGAGATTTGTCACATAATCCACACTTCTCTATATGGCTCAAACTATAAGAGAAAAACTTTATGGCTAGATAGCTTTTAGTAACTCAAGCGGTGAGACAAAACGAATCTCTTAGTTATTGCCGAAAGCTTCGAAAAGTATTGCTACTGTATTATTTGTGAAAAATTCATTAAGAATGCTTGACAACGACTCCCAAGACTGAAACATTACAAAACTCCAGTGATGCATACCCTGATTATTGAGAACAGGTCAACTGTCTTGGGTGATACATAGCAAGCAAAATCAGTGCTAAGTGAGAACGAAGCCACACTGACATCAATTAAAGACTCAGATATTAGTGAGCTGAGTGAACTAGGATAGCTGCATCATGACATATTAGTATAACTAACTATGCTCATAACAGTGATCTAACTCGTCCTTACGACGCTGATCACTGAACTAGGGACATCTTGTCCGGTAAGTTCTCCAGGTTTTGTAGCTTAATATCCGAAATAATTAAGTAACAACTGTTACTGTTGTCACTCATTCTTCCCATGTATCTATGAGTACCTCCTTAAGCAACGCGAGAATTCGAAAACCCAGGGAAGTAAAATAAAAAGAGACAAGACATTTACTAGTTACATTAAGATAATCAGGCAGTGGCAGCTAATTAGCTAGCTTCCTGAAATTACGAATGCTATGCTCTTAAAAAACCAAAATCTTCAGCCACACATATAAATAAACATACACACCTTGTGAATTGTTGACTTGAGAGGGTGACAGACCTTAAATTACCGCGATCTTGGTTGTAATTACAGAAAATCCCTGAGGTTGATACTTTTTATAACACTCGGAGTAAGCTTGTATCAGTGCATTTGAAAAACAACCTTAGATGCTACTCAAACTTCTGGGAATGCGCCTAGAGTATGTACTGCCTAAACTTTCAACCTGTGATTAAACAACTTTATGAAGGAAAACATATGCACAACAAAAAGACGGCAAAGTACCTAACAAAGCCCAGAAATGTGGAACTGAATAAATTGTGTTATCTGAGCTGCTGGATTTAATTGAGAAGCCTCAGCCGTCTTTCAAGACATTTTCAGAGCAGGTTCTAGTACAAAATGGACTTGTTTATTTATTTTATTCATAAAAAACTTAAAGCCCAGAAATGAAAATGCTTACTTGAGATATATTATTCATCCAAGTAGAGATATTATCGAAAGAATTTCCGTTTGTAACATCGTATACAAGCATTATACCCTAAGGAATGACTGTAAGAATTTTGAAAACGAGGTTACCATTGCGCCTCGATAATAGGCAGTAGTGATAGTGCGAAAGCGTTCCTGGCCAGCCGTATCCCATATCTGTAATTTGATCTTTTTGCCATCCATTTCTAGTGTACGGATTTTGAAGTCGATGCCTTGAAAAATTACTTATACGATTTGGTGCGCCGGTTACCTATAGTAGCTATGAAGGTGGAGTTGAACTCATCTTCAGAAAACCGGAAAAGAATGCTTGTTTTCCCGACTCCGGAGTCGCCAATAAGTAGCAGTTTGAACAGGTAGTCGTACAGCTTAGCCATTTCGACCGGATTCAACTTACCCACCAAATGAGTAGTTAGACAAACAAACAATGGTATCTTCAGTTATGATAAGAAAGTGTAACAAAGTAAAGCAAAATGCATGTTTATCTGAATAAACTCATATTTGCTATGTAAGTTGGAGGAGGCTTTTACGAACTCATTGCCACATGGGTGATGGGCTTATTGTTCTCAAAGTTTTGGAGGCTTTTCAGTTCGAGGGACTATAAGGTTATAATTTTGGGATTAGACAATGCCGGCAAATCCACAATACTGTATCAGTTCGTACTTAAAGAGGCTGTACAAACGTCACCTACCATTGGCAGCAATGTGGAGGAGGTAAAATGGAAGAATTTGCATTTCATAATGTGGGATATCGGTGGACAGACTTCTCTCAGAGCATCTTGGGATACATATTTTTCTGGTTCAGATGTATTTGTCACATTTCTTAATTTCTCGTAGTTTGTTATTTTAGTTATCGATAGCACAGATCGTGAGCGTTTGTTCTTAACAAAGCAAGAGCTGTACAAATTACTAGTTGCTGAGGTAAGTGGGAAGAAAACATATAGTTTGCTTTAGGAGTTGAAGCGCTCAAAGATGTTGATATTTGCGAATAAGCAAGATGTATCTGGGTGTATGTCTGTTGCTGAAATAAGCCACAACCTTAACTTGACATCCATAAGAGACCATCCATGGCATGTCCAACCATGCTGCGCACTGACAGGAGAAGGGTATGCTAATTTATGTATTCAATCTCATGTTTGCCCCACTCTTCAGTCAGAAATTTTAATATGTTTTCATGTTGCTTGGGCATTTTTTTCTATGTACATGTCACTAGCGATAGATTTATCACTAGATTAGGGTATTTCGTTCGAGCCTTACAGTTTCCTGTTTAAAAATGGTTTTCTGTAATTGTGGTTGTACAATTATTTCCAAGTATGTAATGTATAGTCAGTTAAAGAAGACTCGTAGAATATATGTGTAAAACTTGGGCACTGTGGTATTAAGTAATTTCATATTAGTTTGATTATTAAATGTATCACACAGTGAAACAGTATTGTATACTGGATACAATCCAGTATACAATACTGTTTCACTGTGTAATACATTTAATAATCAAACTAATATGAGACTCGTAGAATAGTGTTGAATTCCAAACCATACGTTGATTGGAGTGGGGTGATGAGACTTAGTTAAGTTTTCCTGTTAAAAGATTTGTTATCACCTCGGTGTACACCATTTTTTAAAGAGTTAGTCGTCAAAATAGCCTATTCCAAGTAATGATTATAATGTTTTATGAAATCTATTTATTGTGCAGGTTTCTGTCTTGCGAAGTGATTATATTACTTAGACAGTTTTGCCTGGCCTGTGACTCGTTGTCCTAATACTTCTTCCTATACTTCTTCCATAGTTTCAGAGGTGTAATTTTTTTATCTTGAGGAGTCGGCTGACAGTCAGTGTGTCCTGGGTTGAAATAGCGCTTCATCTGTTTCATCATGTACAACTGCCAAGTATCACTCATGCAGTAAGTCTGGTCCACAGTCTGGTGCCTGCGTTTACATAGCCGTACTTATAATGTGCTGTCATGCAGCCAGCACTTAATTATCCAGCCTGTAGATGAGGTTCCGGCGGTCGATAGTTTTCAAGTGATGTCAAGGTATGACATAATTCGACAAGTATCCTGCTTTTTAAACCAGTAGCTATTTCCACTCTGGACTTGGTAAGCTTTGTCCGTTACAGCTTCTCATTTAAACTTCATAAAATTCATGTCGAATTTAGTTGCCAGTAAGTAGTGAACTAGTATTCACTTCTGAGGTTCGTAGATGTTTTTTCGACAAACTGTCCTCTGTGGAACTACTTCGGATTGTGAGGGCGAACTACTAGGAATCAAGTTCTTCGTTTTTGTATATTAGAATCAATGTCAGAGTGTTAACTCATTTTGTTTATCCTGTTAAATGATCTCATATAGAAGTGTATATTTCTTTATCCTTTACAATTACTTTCCGAGTGTTTTACACATTCTAGGTGTTTGTTCGGCATTGGTAGAAGGGTGAAGTTAAGTGTAACTTTAGCGTTTATTCCCTTGGATTTGTACGGAGAGAGATTTTCTAGCTGTGCTTCGTAAATTTAGTGTTTTTAACTCTCTCTCTCTCAAGGTTCCTATAAATAACTATATTCTAACCGTGTTATTGAAACTTTGGTTAATCTATCAACGCGTGTAAATATCTTTTCTTTTTTGGTTCACATGATATTTAAATTATTAAAAATTTATGCAAATGATAGGAAAATCTGCCACCTATGTTTGTTGACCATTAGTTTAAGGGATCTTTTGAAGTCCAACCGGATTTTCATTTTTCTAACTATGTGTTGATCTCTTCATTTGTGATATATTCTTCGTTTAGTTGAAATTTCAATCAGTTTTATTCCTGTATGTGTGTTTACTTCAACCCCAACTTAATATAGTATGATCATCAGTAAAATGTCTAACAAAGATTAGATAGCAGTGGTAATTTATATATTCCCTCTAGGTATACTCTGTATTGATTTCGATAATAGGAAAAACAAAAAAGCTGATGCATATTTGACACTATTTCTAGTTCTGGTCCATATCTGCTAATGTCTCGAACCACAGCTTCACCATCTGTTGGGTCCTATCTAGACGGTTGTAATACACCAGAAGCTACTAATTAAGCACATCATTTCTCCTAATGTGTTAAGCCTTTCAACTATTTTTTAGGTTAAGAAATAGTGGACGATATGGGAATTATTGGGACATTTGTAATGAATGTTCTGACCTATTCAGTCTTCAGTCTTGTCCATTCACTCTATCAGAATTATTTACTACCACTATTTTCAGTACTTGAACATGTCAAGATCTGTCTTCTTTTTGTATTTCTTCAGCAGTCATTTTACTATTCTAACACATTTATTGAGTAAATATTCAATTCATCTAACTCTGACAACATATTTTCCTAAATGATTTAATCAATTTACAAATCTCCAATGACATAGGAATAAGTCATCTGTTACAATAATTTTTTCTAAAAAATAACTCCTTTCCTCAAATCGTGTGCAGTTCATTCTCTACTTACAATATACAGGGCTGGTGTATAGTTGTGTTTATATCTCTGCTTATTTCGCGTTTAAAATACGCTTGGGTCCTCTTCTCAAACAACTCAAGACTGTCTTTGATCATAGGTGTCTGAGTTCCATCTCCCTTGTGAAGTGGTATAATAAGGTGGGCAATATCGAGGTTAAGCTACGGTCAAGTGTTGAGTAAGGAGGGGAAATCAATCGATGAGGTTGTGGAGTTACACCGGTTGAGATGGTTGGGACATGTGTTACACACGCATATCTAGCCATCGCCTCCCTCCACTGACGGGCTATGTTAGCTGACATAAGATCGATTAGGTTGGGATATAGTTAGCTAGTGATGGCCAGACCAAAACATGGCTTTGCCAGTCAGTGAAATCCACAACAGTTAGTTTGAGCCAGTCAGTCAGGTGGGGAGCTGTAGACTTCGGCGAGTATTGCAGTCCTTTCTCCTTTTTACTGATCCGTTCAGACGAACAGCACACTTTCGGCTATCTACTGGGATCCAGTCAAGCAGTGTCTTTTCTGCCCTAGTACTCAAAGCTATCCCTGCGCCAGCTAATCCTCGTGAACTAGCTGTGGCATCTGACACCCTCAAGGTGGATTTTGCAGATTCATCCTGTTGGCCAGGTGGGGTTAGGTGAATAACCACAGACTTCCAGACTGGTTGGGGTCCTCGGGATGGTAAGAACCAACGGAGGCTGAAGACAATTGGTGATATGGCTGGAAATCGTTCTCATTGTCCATGCACGCACATGCATTCACTCTATGATCTTCCATATCCATTAAACCCTACTATTTTTCCATGTTATTATTCTTTCACTACCACCACATTTTTGTTTATTGTTGGTCTTTTGAAAACCTTATTTTTTTCTCTTTTATGCGCTTCTTTGAGTGTAGCAAGTTGAACTGGTGCACATCTGTGCAAAGTTCTACGTTGAGACCAGTCAGTTCGTCACAGTTTAAACCTTTATGAGGTGTATAATTTTTATCAAATGGTTTCTGGCAGCTGGTAACGTGAGAAAATGTTACAGTGTGTATCTGTATCTCTACCTTCCCCAAAGTTGGATGATTTTCTTTACTATTCGTATTTAGGTGTTATGAACAAACAGATCACATAGTGTAGTCTAGATAATTTGTTTTCCGACGGGAACTGTGATGAAAATTTCAGCCATCGAACTTTCTACATTGCAATTTGTGAATTTGATTTCTGGTATCACCAGTTTGCTCAAGTAGCTAGCCAAAAGTTGGGTGGTTTCAATTGATTCGGCTCTCAGAGCTGAGTCAAGTCGGGGGTATACTACTCATGAGTTCAGTCCCTAACGAGTAAAACAGCAGTCTGGTGTTTAGATCACCTTGATGATTTGGTTAGCCATCAGCAAGAACTGCTAGCTGATGTGAATGGTATACAACTACTTATCTCAGTCAACCAGTAGTTATAAATTTTTCGCAATTCTAAATTCGACTTAAAATTTATTAAGGACTTCATTTTGTAAGGGGGTGGTGTAGCTATTGGCTTTTGATCTCAACTTTCAGTTATTGAGGTCTCATTGAGGCCAAACTATAGTTCATTTACTTCGACCTGGACATCCGAGTAGTATCGTAAGTTTCTGTACATCAAATGTGACACAAACTGGTGCTGTTTTTGTGCTACTGAGTTGTATTAGCTGGATATTTGTTATACATGACTAGTGATTTGTGTCCCAGTGATTTAATGGTCTACGAGCCTGGCTTGTAAGCAAAATTTCCTGAGATGTGGCACATTGACTTAAGCATTCGACTTTCAGCCAATGGGTCCTGGATTCGAGTCTCACCTGACCTACTTTAGCCCGGGCACCCTGCATAGTATAACTAACCCGAATACAATATGTGCGGTCTGTTGCCCAGTACCGGATAACTGAAATCTATCTAAGCTAAACTAACAGTTTGTAAATGTGGGGCTGTAAATTCAAACTTCACTTCACTTGTCAAGGTTTGAGCAAAAGGGAAGGCTTCATAACCACCTGTTTTTTTTAACGCATAAAATTGTTTAAGTCAATTATATTATATTTTGTAGTCTTTTCAGGTGTTTGTTTGTTTTGTTTCTAGACTTCCTCAAGGTTTGGATTGGATTGCTACTCAAATTGGACGATGACAGTGCAAATCTCTCCCTGCTCCCTCCGCACTCCCCCCTCTTTATTATTTTCTTAACGGTTATTTTCTCAATTTTCGATTATTATCAACAACAAAAAATAAAGTCTTAAGCATCAATAATATACTAGTGCTGTTAATGTTCTCCGTCAAGAGTCAGTGTTATGTCGCCTTTGAAAAAAGTGAACTGTTTCGTGAATAACTTTATTGTAAATTGTTATTCTTATATCTTCTAGTTTTTCTTAAGTTTTTCTTGTGTTATCGTCGTTTCGTTTGTACAGACTGTAATATAACACTTCATGCCTATATTTGCTTAATATGGTTATGACCTTCCTTATTATGTTCATTTTGTAATATGAAAAATCAGAGTATCTATCCAAGTGTACTAGGCAATTGTAAACTTCTGCTTATATTTACCATCAGCCTTGTTCACTATTTGTAACGCTCTCAGTAAGGCTGTTGATTATTTGAATCAGGTGTGGTCAACTACCAGTGATGTGTATGGAAATCAATTTGAAATCAATTTCTTTTGTGATTTAAATTTCTGTCTTATACTTTCACATATATGACTTTTTGTTACTGTTATATATTGCAAAGAAATAGGAAAATCCCTTATTGTGAAATAAGAAGCAAATAATAAAGAATTTTTGAAGCTTCATATGTGTATTATTTTACTTAACTCAAGGAAATACTATGCTTATTCAGAAATATGAATTAGTTTTTAAATGATGTGTACTTTTTTGTTACATTATTAAGCCAGACATATAAGCGAACAATGTTGCTGTTTTCAATTAGATCTTCTTCAGGCTTTACTCTAATTTACATAGATTTATATATATATATATATATATATATATATATATATATATATCCCAAGTATTTTAGAACTATTCTGTCAAATCTTCACGACAGTTCATTTGAATTATTTTGAAATCGAATTAAATTAACAAAGAAACTATGTAATTGGCACAATCATCGTGTTTCCACTCTCCGTTGTCTGCGACAGAATGCGTATCCTGAATTCGTAGCTGTCCAGTCACCTGACAACTTCAGTAGGTCGAATAAAGCAGCTCAATCTTCAGAAAGAAGACAAAGCAATGAGTTTGACAGGGTGCTTCAACTAAACTCTAATCCTAAACACCATAATTTTGAAAATACGTCCAATCATAAAATTCTAGATACTAACAGTTTGAACAGACATGAAGGTGTGATGTTAGATGACGCTTAGGAAATCCTGATTAATAAATAAGAATGGATATGTATCACTAACTAATAATACTTGGTCAAAGTTTCCCGACTGTCTATATCTACTTATGGAGACGTTAAGACATTGTTTTACAACTGTTTATCCGCACACACACATACATACACACTGTGTTTAAAGTGTTTAACAAAGGTAGATCAATATTTGTAAGTCTGAGGTCAAATTTTGATCACAACTCGTACAATTTTGTTTATTATACTTGTTAATACTTGTTTTATGACTCATGATTGGACAAAGATTTTAAAAACAAGAGATGTTCCTTTTATATATAAACGTCTGTTATGTTAATTTCGATTAGTTTCCCTGAAGAAGTTCGGACCGGACTGCCGAACAAGATGTCGGAATTACTCATTTCAATATCGCTGAGATTTTACAAATAATTTTTTACAAATGCGGTAAATGTTTTGAACATAGTTAATAACGATGATTATAATGATAACAAAATATTGATAATAAGGTGTATGCAGGTGGCGATAAGAATAACAAAGGTAGTAATATATGTATATGTAGACAATTCCATAAATAAATAAATTAGGTCAAATCATAAAAGGTGAAGTGGACAGATAATCAGAGTTTAAATACATATAATAAAAGTACGGAGATGGAAGATAAAAAGGGTGGGAGGGTTTTGAATCGAATTCACCTAGGCCAAGGGGGAGACAAAGGTTAGAACAAACTCCTTTTGTATACAAAGACTAGGATTGTTCTCTCGAATTGATTCCCATAGCTTCGGCTAAGTGTAAGAGACGGGTTCTGATTCCATTCGAAAGACTCGATGGAATGCGATAGATAACTTTGAAGGCACTATTTTTGTCCACTTGGTGACCGCTATCAATCAAATGAGGTAAAATAGAACTTCATATGGATTTTATTTGACCTTTTCCGAACCATGAAGGAAGATGCTCATTAATGCGGTTGTTAAGCTCTCTAGTTGTTCGCCCTATATACCCAGCTTTCTCCACAGGAGCAACTATATTTATAGTTACACATCGAAGTGGCACAGCTAGGTAGCTTATCTTTCACTTGAGCTGTCTGTCTGGATTCAACATAGAACTTGTCACCGAAGTGCAGCAGTTCGAGTTGCCACGTTCCAAATAGCACACAAAGGTAGACAAGAAGATGAGTGAAGAGAATCAACAGAGTTTGACAAGTATAAGAGCGAAACAGAATGGGTAATGGTAGAAAGAAATATGAAAGATTACAGAGACTGAATACATCTGCGCCATTGAAAACGATTTTGAGCCATGTCACCTATTGTTTCCAGCCATTGATTCCAAGGATCCCGAGGGCCCCAACCCGGAAGTCTGCATCTCCCTACCTGACTCAGTTTAACTGTCAAGGATTTCATGGGTTGATGCCATGTTTTTGTTTGGCTACCACTTACCCTTTTCCAACCTGCACCTATGTGCTAGTAATGCCCGTCGGGGGAGGCAATGGTTAGGTATGCGCTTGAGTGATCGAAATTGGTCGACTGGAAAATGACAAACAAAGGGTGGCGGCAGTATACGTCCATTTTGTTGCTTTCGATTATGTCAGATGTAAGACTTCATTAGCCACGTCCCCATTAAATTGCAATTTCATCAACAGTTGTATCTTTCAATTGTTGTCAGTTTCTCTCTATTGTACTTGGTGTTAATGTGTTTCCTTACAAATCTACTAGGATAACCCATTTGGACCAGCGTATTTTGGATGTATCCTGGCTCATTTTCTAGTGAGTCATCTGTACAGATACGTCTTGCTCTATTCGTGAGGCATCTGACCAAATAGATTTTGTATCGGATTGGTACAAAACTGAGGAAATGTGTGTATTGTCCTACAGATGTAGGTTTTCTGTAGAAATCCCTCTTGAGTAAACCATCCTCTCTTCTGTTCGATTGGACGTCAATGAAATGTAGTCTACCATCATGTTCTTTACAAGTGAAGGTGAGCGATGGATGTGCATCATTAAATTTTATTAACATTTCATTCTTGTCAGCTTTCACATCAAGAATAATAAACTTATCACCAACATAACGAAAATAAGAATCGGTTTTCTCTATTACCTGTCTCAATGGGCCATTTTCAATCTTGGCAAGAAAGAAATCCGCCAAAATTGGCCCCAATGGAGAACCCATGGCAATACCGTCGATTTGCCTGTAGTAAAGGTTGTTGAATGTGAAGCGTACATTCACAGTACATCTTAAAAGCAACTCTTTCAGACTAATAACCGGAATTCCGATGTCGGTCTGTTTTTCTAGTTTCTGTTGGCATATGAACTCCACAGTCTCCATAAGTGGTACATTGGTAAACAGTGATGCTACATCTAAGGAAAGCATTTGATTCCCATTTACATTGATATCATCCACGTTAGCAATAAATTCAAAAACGTTTTTAACACTATGATTTACTACCATCTTGTGTAACGGTTGGAGGAGCTTAGTTTCGAGTGAGACATAGGACTTCGACAGAATATCCCCGCTTTGTCCCGTTCTTTGCTGTCCTCTCCAACTGGCCTTGCGATTGTCCATAGGCTCTCGCCTCTTCCTCCTCGCATGATTGCCTCCATGTCACCGGCGATCAGACGCCCAACTCTTCGTTTCCCATTCTGTGCCAAATTAAAGGGATGGCTTGGCGCAGCGCGATACAATTCGACGGTCTCCTCAGCGTGTGTCCAATCCATCTCCACTTTCTTCGGGATATTTCTGAGCGATATGTTCCTCTTTTGGTTCATTCCAAGTGTTTCTTGTTTGCTGGCTTTTTTTTCTGGTCAGCCATTTGATCTTTAAGTATGGAGCGAATGTGGCAGTCGTTAGCCGTATGCATCCGGCTGTTAGGAATGCTTTTTTATTTTTGTTTTAGCAGATTACCATAAAATATGAAAGAATAATGAAAACAAAAAGGAACATTAGGCGTTATACATTGATGAGAAAGTTGAATATTTATTATGTAATACATGGGAGTAATGGAAGTGTTTAAATAGGTGTGTAGCAGAGTTAGAGGTAAATGTATTTTCCCCAAACCAACTTCAATTTACGCATGAAACAGTAGTTGGAAATAATGTCTGTTTCACGCTAAAATTTGTTTATAATTCAGTTTTAATTTTCCCATTGGCTGGTTATCTGATCTTCAGTATGGAGCCACTGAAGGCAGCTGTTGATGAAAGTCTGCAGCTGGCTGTCAGAAATGCTTTACGTGACACGTTCTCCAAGTGTCTGACTTGGATAGAAAAACTGACTGACTGAACATTAATTTTGAATATTCGAATTCTTCTGTTCATTCTTCAGTGAAGTGCAGTCGAAACTGGTTTCAAGTGATGAAGGTGTGCCTTGACTTTCCAATTCTGTTTTTTGACGTCGTCATCATCATCCGTGCTGTTATCTGTAGTTGAAACGATATTGCCTGGTCAGATATGTGAAGGGAGTGACGTCTTTCAAATTCCTACAGTTGATGGTGCTTAGTGCTGGTTGGTTAGTTGGCTGTCTCCATCACCTCCATCTTCTCCTTGCTCACTTGGGGTCCTGTCTTTGCTGTTTCTTCTGCCTGTTTGTCGGTTTTCGTCTGTAAGTATTTGAGTTTGTGTGGCACTAGACATAAGTGATCTGCGAAATCCAGATCTTCTAGACTCTTGATTATCGGTGATGCAGCGTATTCCTGTCTTCTTACTCCCGACTCATTGTCTCCCACATAATATAGTCCACTACAATTAAGGATAACATCGGTGATAGTAGGCTGCCAGCTTGTCTTACTCCTGTCTTCACTTCAAAGCCTTCACTGAGTTTTCCGTTGTGGATCACCTGAAATGTGGAATTTTCATATAGCTGTTGAGTGGTGTTGACAAAGATTTGCGTTACTCCATAGTGCTGAATTAGTTTACTTCACGATTAACGCTATCGAAGGTCTTTACAAAGTCGGTGGAGTTGAGGTACAGATTCGACTGCTATTCGTGTACTGAAGAAAACAATTTAAGCGAATATTTCTTTTCGGTAATTTTTCCTCAGGTTTTACGATCACATGATAAAATTATTAAACCCAGACATTTGATATCAGTGTATGGCCAGTATTACACATTGTTCTGTGACTTGTTGCTATTGATGTCAGAGCATCATGTGATTTCGATTACAGCTTGACTATTGTGAACTTTGAAGAGTTGTTAACAATGTAATGGAACTGCCGTACTACCTAGCGTAAGTTCGTGATACTTTGAACCTGGCCGACAACTGCTGTCTTGTCATGGTGGTCGGGATTGGATACCGTGATGAGTCAACAACCCATAGTGCGGGTCCTGCCATGCCAGAAAAGTTGTTTAGATAGTTGTTAGACTAAAAGCGGTTACTATGGGGCACATGGGCTCCAGAAACCAAACAGATCAGATGGTGTACGAAGCTGTACTGGTCACTGGCAACCATGGCGATGT